CCCCAAAACCCCAAAACCCCAAAACCCCAATAAACAACATTTCAAAATTTTAATGAAATCAAAATTGTTAATTAATTACTTAATTCCTTGTTGAAGTCTTACATTATTCTCAAGCATATCATTTGAAATCATGGATGAGATAGGAGATTTAGTATAACCCATTTTTGAAGGTTTGTAATTTCTTATGAAGAAATTTCTATCCTTCTTCAAGAATTTGTTTTAATATCTATAAAATTAATCATGACTAGAACTTACCTAGAATTCAGATTCTTTGACTTTGAAAGTTTTGTTGAACTGGGTCAACAATTCAAAAACATCAGGGTTAGTATTGTCTATTTAATTATACAAAACTTTGATGCTCTTTTCAAACTATTTAGCTTTATTTTTCATAACTAGCATATGAGAGCCAAGAACTTTAATCTTTATTATTTATTTATTATCATCCATGTTAATAAAAAGCAAGTCTTGCTTTAAATTATCAAGCCCATGATTAAAAATGATAGCTAGCACATCTTTTGAAAAATCAAAGTACTATCTAAGATTTTGAATCATATCAATAAAAATGCAGTATTGACCTTCGATATATGTTCCAGTAATTTAGTTACAGCCTTTACAAATTACAGGGTCACCTTAGACTTAATTTGCTTCTACTAGCTTCTATGATAATACTATTTAATTGAATCTAATGAGACAGACTTCATCAGGTATTTTTATCAGTTTCGTGTTCAGGTCTATAAATTGACTGAAATCTTCATCATGGCATTGCCAGAGCTCAACTACCTCTTTCCAGTTCTCACTCGGTGCAGACTTAACTTTTATCTCTTCATTTACTATGCGATATTCACATGTCTTACATACTAAACCATCAAGCTTAGCTGGACCGCTGTATGTAAGCATCTGGCTAACAATATTAAGGTCATTTTGATACTGCTTATCATAAATAAACCTTATGTTAACAACTCCTTCTGATATTTAGATGCAAGTCTCTTTTGGGAATATTATCAGGTTCTTATGAAAGAGATTAATTTTTATAGAGAGTGCATTCATTTACTTGTGATTAAGTAGAATTTCAAGGTTGCCATCAATGCACTCATACTATACTAAATGATTCAATTTAATAATCTTAAATTTGAAATATACCTTTGTAATTTTGAATTGCAATTGGAGAGTTAGCATTCCAGACAAATACCTACAAGGTACTTATATTGTGCTGCATCTCAGCAAAATATTGGTAATCAAGAGAGTCTTAGAGATCTATTTGTTCCATTATCATTTTTAATATAATATAATTAATATATCAGGATAATAATCATAGACTATAGATTTGTTAATATTTAATTATGAGATTATTATTTATAATAATTGCAATAAAAATGAATAATACTTTGAAATATGTCCATCTTTCAAAATTCAAATCAACTTATATCATATTAATATTAGGCTTTGCAAGTATTCTAGCTATGGTTAGAACCTTTGAACTTTAGAAGCCTTTACTTTCAAATGAAAAGTCAAATTTATTGATGAAAAAGTACTCATTCGATGACTCAAGCAGCAGCATGAATTGCTATAATTAGATTTTGAATTACACAACCAATTTCTTGAAGGAGCCATTCAGTTTGATAAACATGGCATAATCAAGAGATTTCTTTGAAGTTGGATCCCCTGAAATCTGTGAGGAGTTCAGTGAATTCGGAAGAGTAATATCGCTCAAATAAGAAGTGAAAGGCTAGCCAGGGTCATTTAAGCAATACTTTTGTGTGCCCAAGGAGTGTGATTAAAATCTTGCGATTAAAATAAATAGAATTATGAAAAGATTAAGTCCTATAGCCTGTAAGAAGAGCTAGTACAATGTTGGCAATAATGCTAATAACTCTTAAAATTCGTGTATTTTTACAGCTGAGTATCCGGAGGATTAACTTAAACAGTAAAAGGATGACATTCAAAGTGGATTTTTAGTTTGGATTATTGTAATATGTTCTTACTCTACCTTGGTGCTGGTGAGCACTTTCTATGATATGATAATAAGATTTAGAAATGAAAAACTTAGCTTAGAAAAGCTGAAGGATCTCTAGCAGAGTTTACAGCAAAAAGACTCTTTGAATAAGACTATTTTACAGCTGCTTCAAGAAAGTAATTAAGAAAATGTAACTGATATACTTGGGGACCACAATGAAACATAAGGTACAGAGGATCTGGACTAAGGATAAACAAGAAGTTCAGGATAAATCATTTCGAATAGAACTAACCAATAAAACAGCGGCAAGAAACAAACTAATACTATGGGATTCAGCGCTTTAGGCAGATTTTGGAATCATAGATCATCTGAGTCAGCTTAGTCGAAAGTTAACATTCATGACAACTCAAACAATGCCAGCTTTTTCAAGTAAAGTTATGCTATTAATGGCGAAAGTACACCATAAAAAGCTCCTAGTATTTCTAACTTCCTAACAGAATAGTAATCAATGAGTGGTGAAATTTCATACAAATTTATTCATGATAGAAAAAATCACTCCTACCTAACCTTGCTTTCTTTAGGTAGAAATTTCGACATTTTTTTCGCTGAAAGGACATTAGATGAGCAGGAGTTAAACATTCTAGATGGACTTAAGGTATTAGTCTTTCTTTGGATTTGGATAGTACAATCAATCACGATGAATCTTGATAAGTAAATCATGAATAAATGGAGGTTGACTGATTGGAGTACTTAGAGTAATATTTTGCTAGGATTAGCTGCTTCATCATAAATTGGCATTGATGTGTTTTACATACTCTCAGCCTTCTTTATGACTTATAAAATCATCAGAATAGCTAAAGAATATAATGGGATTAGTTTATCTATACTTTTGTAAGTTTACATTCAGAGACTAATTAGGATTCTTCCAGTTTATTGGTTCTTATTTATCACGTCGTGGATTCTATTATGGCACTTAGAAGAGTCAAATGTGAAAAATTCATTGAAGTTAAATTATGAAAATTGCTCTGATTATTGGTGGACTATTTTTGTAACTATAAATAATCTAGTACCATAAGAAACAGATTAAAAATGCTTTTACTGGGGATCCTTTATCTCCACTGAGCTATAATTATTTACCTTTTTACCAATAATCATGATTCTTTACACCAAATTCTCAAGAGTTACAGTTTTCATTTTACTAATTTTACTTACCCTAGCTACAATCTTAAATTTCAACTTATTCTTTGTTGGTGATTACAAACTTGGGTATTAATATTTAGCAGATATAAATATTGCAAAGGAATATGGAATATCACCATTCACCAGGATAGATAGTTATATATTTGGAATACTAGTGGCTTTTGTTTATGAATAGATCATTTGGTTTCAGTTAGAAGCGAGAGCAAGGGAAAAACAGCAATATTTTATGTTGAATCAATTGCATATTTCACATGTTGCTCCATTTTTCCTTATTATATCAAGCTTTGTTTTCTTTCTTTTACACGTAATATTTTACTTCAATATTAATTGGAGCAGCAGCTCTGATTAATACACCAGAGATAATCGGATTATAAATTCAGTGCTTATGGCTATTGGAAAGATATTTTTCTTTATAAGTTTATTGCAATTTATGACTTATATCTTTGTATACAAGAGTAGACTACTTCAGCATTTCTTAGGATCATATTTCTTTCAAGGTTTATCGAAACTTATATTAGGAGCTTACTTGGTTATGCCTATCATAACAAAGAGTTACTTATCATTGACATATCAGACCACAGTAATGACATCAACATTGATTATTTATCAGTATTCTTTGATAGTAATCGTTTGCTTTGGAATATCATTATTAACCTTCATCATGATTGAGTAGCCTATTGGTGATCTACTTAGATTATTAACCCATGATATGATAAGAATATGCTCCAGGAAATAATCAAATGAGTCTTGATTTGAAGGACTTGAAATAAAGAAATTTACTTATGAAATTATTTTAATCTTAAATTAAAAGTTGAAATTAGTCATCATGGGGTTTTGGGGTTTTGGGGTTTTGGGG